AAATGTGCACATTTCGCCGCCCATATTGCCACGAGACAGGCTCTGATAAAGGCTCTCATTAGTGCTCGGTCTGACTCAGATTTACTGGCCCTCCAGTGGCGCTCTAGGGGTCTCTTTTGGCGCTTCATCTCCCAGAGTTCCTCTGTGAACCAAGGGCCCCTCCTGGATCCGCTGCCTCGGAGAGGTCGCAAAGGCGCAATCCGGTTTAGAGCCCCCGCCGCCGCTGTATTCCAGGCAGCGACTAAGGACTCCACTGGATTGTGGACGAGAGTGTCAGGTATCTCTCCAAGCACCGTCTGAAATCCCATAGGGTCCATCAGATGCCTGGGGCGGAAGCACCTAATCGGGTCCCTCTCCCTACAGTGGGGGATTGGTTTCCGAAAGTCAAGCCTCAGTAGGAAGTGATCAGACCAATTTGGATTTTGGGATTGCCATTTTTGTTCATTGCAGAAAGTAGTTACAAATGAAACTAGAAATTAACAGAACAATTACAATCTACATATTATTGCAGTGGTTTTAATCATAATGAGATTAAATTTTTATTTTTTTAAATTAGATGTATAATCAAAATTAAGTATTTGACCACTTATATAGATAAATATAGGTAGTGTTTGTTATAAGAATTGACCCCAAAAGTTTGCTGAGCAAGGCAATTTTTAAGTGAGTTTTGTCCCATTTTAGGACTTTTTGTTACAATTGTTAAGTGAATCATTGCAGTTGTTAAGTGAATTATGTGAATATTAAATGAATCTGGCTTCTCCTATTTGACTTTGCTTGTCCAGAAATTGGTGTTTACATGACTCCAACACAGTGCAGCTGTCATAATAAATGCACGCAAGTTGCCAAGTGCCCAAATTTTGATCATGTGGCCAGAGGGATACTACAACAATCGTCAAGTGTGAAAACTATTAATAAGTCACTTTTTTCAGCTTCGTTATAACTTTGGTCTCTAAATGAATGTTTGTAAGTTGAGGACTACCTGTGATTGAGATAGAGAATAGGAAAACTAGATCTGAATAGAAATATTTAAAAATAATAACACAAATGCTTAATTGCTAAAAATACAGACTTTGGAATGGGAAAAAAAACTTACGTTAAATATATTCTGGTTTCATTTGTGTCCAGTAATAACTATACTCTACAATTTAGTACTATACAGATATGATTCTCCATTTTCCCTGTAATTCCTTATGCTTTTCTAAGGACTGGGAAATAACTATTGTTGATGTTCTTTAACTGTATTCTAGTTCCCAAACATGGGCTTGCTTTACTGAAAAAAGCCAATTTCAAATATTGGTTTAGGAAAGTAAAGTTTCAATAAACTATAATAAACATCCACAGTATACAGTTGCATTTGCACTTTTTGTTGTATTTAATTGAATGTTTTATTTTTATTTTCCATGGGATAATAAGTTGTACAGTATATACAGTGGGGCAAAAAAGTATTTAATCAGCCACCAATTGTGCAAGTTCTCCCACTTGATGAGAGAGGCCTGTAATTGACATCATAGGTAGAGCTCAACTATGAGAGACAAAATGAGAAAACAAATCCAGATAATCACATTGTCTGATTTAGAAATATTTTTTTTGCAAATTATGGTGGAAAATAAGTATTTGGTCAATATCAAAAGTTCATCTCAATACTTTGCTATATATCCTTTGTTGGCAATGACAGAGGTCAAACATTGTCTGTAAGTCTTCACAAGGTTGGCAACACTGTTGCTGGTATGTTGGCCCATTCCTCCATGCAGATCTCTAGAGCAGTGATGTTTTGGAGCTGTCGCTGGGCAACACGGACTTTCAACTCCCTCCAAAGGTTTTCTATGGGGTGAGATCTGGAGATTGGGTATGTCACTCCAGGACCTTGAAATGCTTCTTCCGAAGCCACTCCTTTGTTGCCTGGGCTGTGTGTTTGGGATCATTGTCCTGCTGAAAGACCCAGCCAC